GCGTGCTCCCCTAACTTGATATGGTCCTCTGCTCCCGCCATATCTGCCCCTCCCACCGATCGTACTAATTCCTCCCTCCTCCTTCAACCCCCCACCCTCCCCCCCCACCCTTTCTACACCGCAACCCCCAGACATGGCTGGTCCTGACCTAAGGGGAACCTCCCTCCTCCCCCCCCCACCCTAATTCCCCCTAAAAATTTGTTAAAACACCCCTGTAAAAACCTTCTCAATTTACATAATTTATAGCGTATATGTATAATTTATTGCCATTATTTCAAACTTTTGTGCGGGGTATAAAAAAGGTTGGGAGCCACTGCATTAATGCAATCAATGTTACTAATTGCAATTATTTTGCATAATAGTTTCCATCTTAGTTCAGAAAGTATAAAATGTGTAGGAAATCTTACTTGTAACACAGGACCGCAGATCAGATGGAGTATCTGGAGTCAGTGATGGCACTCTGAAAATTCCAGTTCTGAACGAAGCCAGACAGTCTGTGAAAGCATCAAGCATCTGCTTACTGATGTGCAATAGCCACTACAAGCTATATTACATGGTGCAGTGCTTTCTGACCTGTATATCTTCTCACTGAAGTTATAGAAATGTGCATTTTTAAATGCATTATTTAAATGAATAAAGTTTAATCAGTTTTTTTCTTTACAGTGAACAGTTTGATGCTGAGATTTAATGAACTGTGAAATTTACTGTGCTGTTATACAAATCAGTCAGTTTTCTGACAGTTTCTAACAAAAGTAGGGAATTGAAAAAATGATAACAAAACCAAGGCCATCCCAGAATTCAAAGGTTTCTCATACTCTGTGAAAATTGAGCTGGCTTTTTTTTTTATTTGACCAGTATTAACACAATGTTATATATTCTAGTTTTATTATGAATGCAGATTATTTTGCTTTCACATGGTGAAAAACAAATACCATGAAGCAGATCTGGCTGTTACCAGAACAAGGGTTAGATGTAAAAGAGGGTCACTTCTAACCGTCTACTTCAGGTAGACATAAGAAAAAGCAAGAAAAATTATAAAGAGATGGCAGAATACCTATAACTTGCATTTGACATATGGAAGCAATTTTAATTTTTTTCATTATGGCTTCTTAGCTTTAGTATAATAAATTAGAAGGTTTTAAACCATATGCCTATTCATTTGTTTTATATCCCTTGTTCCTTATAATCCTGATACTTCACACTCTGTATATGCTAATGTCTTCACTAATAATTAACCCCAAAACAAAAACAAAAGATTGACGACAACAGATTGAGAGAGAGAAAACAAGAAACCAACATTGCAATTACTTTTATTTAGGGGTGCACCTAGAAAACTTCATTCTTTGTGGAAATAAAGTCATATGAGTAGGCCTATTTTTACTGTCATTTGTATTATTTAGTGATAAGATTTATTTAGTATTGTAAAGGTAGAAATAATCACATGAAGGAGAATATTTGTAGCTCAGGGTTGAAATGAGGGGTCCTTGGTGCTCTCTGAGCTTGCTTTTTTTTATTTAATCACAGTTTCAATTGGAAAAGGTGACAATCCTAGACCAGGCCAAATCCAAAAATGCCAGGTAATTTCTAGAAGCCTGGCACTCTGACAAATCAATAGACACATATACATTGACAACATCTATAGACTATTCAAAAGAGACAATCAACCAGCCCAAAAGAAAAAAAGACTCCAGCACCTCCCCACCAGTAATCAGCACTCAGATCAACATAGATCACCTTCAGACCAACAAATAAGTAAGCAATACCACAATCAAGAAACTGTCACAGAGCCATTAGTAAACAGCCCAACCAAAAATTCCCTAAGACCGCTGCCACTCACACAGACAGGCGAGACACCAAAATATAAACTGACAGCAAACAGCACTCCTTACTAGCACTGATGATGTTACCTAGTTAGGGTAATGAAATGTCTGCAAGAAAAGAAGCAAGCTCAGAGAGCACCAAGGACCCCTCATAATCACATGAGTCTCCCTATTCATTGTTCAAAATATGTAACAAAGGCAAAGATGTTGCATGGAACAGCATCAATTCTACTAGGTCTCAGCATGCCCATTTCAGGTCAGAAATTTACACAAGGCTCCATGTTCTGCCACACTTTCAGAAAAGGGGTTCTGGGAAGGCCCTGCCAAATTATTTGTGCCCTCCTTTGCTGTGAGGTTTTATATTTTAGTATGATAGTGTAATATATTATTAAACTGCTAAGCTACTCCCATTGGTTCATACTGAAGAAATATGTTCCCATATTAAAAGTAACAGAGAGACAAAGAATAGTTTTGATTACATAAAATCTGGGATAAGTGAATAGAAAAATAAAACTGTTCAAGGATACTCTACATAACAAAGAAAGGTGATAAAATTATATAGAAGATATTCTTCTTTATGTTTTATTTCAACCAGAATGAATTAATTAGATAATAAAGTGTTGATTAAATAATAAATTAATTACATTAATTAACAAGGAGTTAACTAAACATTTTTAATAGAAATGAACAGAATCACATTGCAGAAGATATGTTTATGGTTTTAGCAAGTGTTGCAGCTGTAAAAACAAGGAGTGGATCATAAAACCAGCACTAATTAAATGAATATCCAAAATTTTCCTACAACTGAAAATTGTTGATGTTTTTAAGTTTCAAAAAAATTGTTGTCATTTAAACCGTAAAATGCATTTTTTATATAAAAAAATAAACTTACCCAAATACCTGGGATAGAAATAATCCTGTTTTTTTAAAAAAAGAAATTAATTAGAATGTGTATTAATTGATAAGCGATATATATATGGTTTGTTTAAAATAATGACTAATAGCTGGATTATAAGGTTATAAAAACATAGTTTTCTATATTTTATGTTATTAAATAATATTAGAAATTTAATCTGTGCTTTTTAATGTAAATAGCATTTATAAAATAAATGGATGTAACAAACTATCATTTTGAAAATGTATGAACTAAACACAATGTTCAGATATTTCACAATTATAACCTGTTCGCTGAAACCCATTTTATTGTAATGCCATAGAAGGATAATCTGGTTTGAAAGAAGCAGAACAGCTCTGCGAAAGGTTTGTCATGGACCAAAGGGGCATTCTGGACTCACAATAGCCCAGATAGAAGATGTGTCCAGTGTGACCTCAGAAATCCCAACCATCAACCACCCTAGCAACCACATCCTCAGTGAAGCATCCCAGATCTGGTCCACAGCAAACACTGTGTAGGAAGAAGAGAAAAACTACTATTTTCCAATTAGAAAAATGAAATATGACTTTTGATTGCTTCAACAACGGCAACCACAATATCACAAGGACAAATGATAAAAATGGTTACCAAGGCAAGTGTGTGCCATGATTAGGACAAAATGAGGATGACTTCTCTGCCAAGATTATTTTAATTTTGGAGAAATAAAACACCATAGGTCAAAGAGCTCTTACCGTTTCAGGGTTATTTTCAAAAATTTCCCTGGCTTCTTCTCTATTGCAGTATTCTTCAATACACTCCCTCTCCATATTCCCCTTCTTGCTTTCTTCCATAAAGGAATTCGCACGACGTTTTCTGACCAAAAACTCTGAGGCATGATTCTGAGATAGAACTAAATGAAAGCAAACATTTTGTATTAAGGACCTTCTCTTGTGTCATCAAATAATGCCAGAGAACAAAACCAAAATTCTTATGACTTTGAGTGCTGTTGTTATGTCAGCATAAAGAGCTGGAAGGGAATACCAAGCTTCCCCTTGATTTTCCAAAACTAACTCAAAAATGTGAAAAAAACCAGAATTCCACAAATTCGCCACAGACACTTTAGTTTAAATCAGGGGTAGGCAACCTTGGCTCTTTTATGACTCGTGGACTTCAACTCCCAGAATTCCTGAGCCAGCATTCTGGGAGTTGAAGTCCACAAGTCATAAAAGAACCAAGGTTGCCTACCCTGGTTTAAATGAGTAAGAATATATCTTATAAGCTAATATTTTTAAATTTATGAAGTTCCTTTTATATAGCTCATCCTCTATCCGCAAGCATCCCTACAGACTTTAGCCTGTTTCTTGAACATTTATATGTACTCCACCTTTGTTTTTTTTTCCTGTATGAACTCTGATAAAGAACTCTAAAGAACTCAAAATGTTCATTGTCTTTTATGATAATTTAGATGAACAGTACTTCGTTATAACCAAATTATGAATTTGGCTTATTTTCCTTCTTGAATCAATATGAGTATCTTATTTTGCTATTTTTAAGTATGCCAGCATTTATTTACACACAAACACTCCTTCCTTTAAGAGATGCACTTCTACATTCCCTCTTGAGCAGATATTTTAAAAAACAAGACCACTCTAAGCAGCCTTCAAATTTGCTATATTCATAAATGCCATAATCAATCATCATTTTCAGTAGAATGTGCATAGCCCTTCGTGCTCTCTGACCCTGGTAGTTTGCTTGGATCAGTTCACTGATAATATTACCTAGTTGAGTAATGAATCATCTGCAGGCAAATAATCAAGCTTAGAAAACAACAATTGATACTTTTTCCAACCAGACAGATTTGGAACATGAGTTTCAATTCAAATGTTCCAGAGTAGAGAACTGAGGTCTATCATTTTATACATATGCTCCAAAGTGGGGAAATTCATACACCAAATGTCATTGTAGCAATGTTTCTTATATTACATAAGTACTAAGTGTCACAAATGTGCCATGGTGTTAAAGTATCATTTGGGGTGAAACCTTGTTACATAAAAATCCTGAACCCAAACAGCCATGCTGTAAGTAGGCATATGTCATTATTTTTCCTATTGATTGTATATTTTCTGGGCTTAGTCAATTGACACAATCCTGAAATATTTCAAGAATTGGTTGTAAAAGTTTCTCTATCTCTAGATAATGAAGCAAAGATAAAGAAATCATTGTTTGGGTGTCTTGTTTGTCAGACTTTATAAAAACTATGCTGTTAGGATTTGAGAAACAGAATAATGGCGAGTAAAGAATAAGGAATATAAAGAACAGTTGCCCATTATACAACACAAAGCACATTGAAATAACTACATCCCTATTTCCAATTTGAAGTATTGGCAGATATGACAGTCTTGTTACAGTGCCAACACAGTGTTAGTGTTCTCTTCATCACTCCAATATTGTGAGTCGTTCTTTAGTGAAAAAAATCAGTCCATTTAATAATGAAAGTGATAACTGTTAAGTACATATACAGAGAGTGCTGTAAAGCACTATGGAGAAGGGGTATATAAGTGTAAGTGCTATTGCTATTTCTACTGTCATATTCACTACCCTACTTGTAACATTTCAAATGTCTAAATAACTGTTTTATTACTTTCAGTCTTTACAAACTGTGAACATCTGTAAAGAACTTATAAGTATGTGTTCAAATCTACTAAAAGATGTTATGCTTAATTTTAAAACCATGTAGCAGTTTGGTTAACTGCTGTTCGCTTAGGCATTCACAGAGATAAGGAATTTGATCAGGAGTGCCTTAACCTTTGCAATTCAGCTGTAAAACTTTAAAATAACTGAATAGAGTTTTCTCTGTAGGGCAGAATTACTGAACTTTCTGGCTTTGCGGACAGGCGTGGGGGGGGTGGAGATTGTTTTGCGCAAGTGGTGGGCAAGGCACATGTGTGTGAGTGGCATGCACATGCACCTACTGCTTATGCAAATGCCTATGCACATGCTCTCCCGCCGCTTCAGGCGGTCTGGTTTTGAACAGCTCATAGACCCTGTTGTAGGGAATAGAAAACATTTTTGTACACATGTCAAAATGTTTAGGTCTCTTCTAAATCTAATCTATTTACAATGGACATGACTAAAGATAGAATATATACTAATTTTAGGCTGTAAATATTAATGATGGATTCTTTCAATCTTTTTCCAATAAAAAATAGAATATTTGAGTAACTTACCCCTTTTTATTAGGATACAGTTTATTAACTTCCAATAGGTACAGATAAATATAGAGAGTTCAAAAGAAACACACATAGCATAAATAAACGTGAAACTTTTATTGAGCAATTATTCAAAATCCTGGATGTTTTGTGTTTTCAAGAGCTTTTCTTCTAGTATAAATGATTGACATAAGGGTTCTCCTTTTTTTAGATCAATCAAGTGATTTTCCATTGGTTGTGATAGGAACTGACAACAACAAAAGATGCATATGTTAATATCCTTAGGAAAGAAGACGAAGTAAAATGTTGATATTATAACCCTATCATGTATCTTACTGCACCAAAAAAAATTAGAAATCACTGCTTTTTATTTCTTTTTCTTTTTTTTGCTCACTTTATCCCCCCTGCCCTCTCCTTTTTTCCATTATCTTTATTTTATTTCTAGTTTATATTAAGAAAAAACTTTTAATAAACAGTAATTAAAAAAGGAAAACAAGACCACAATTCATCTTATAAGGAAGATGCATATAAATGCATAAATTTGCATAAAATTTTAATAAACAAACAAATAACATTCAAATGACTTCAGAAGCTTAAATATTGCAACAAATCCAACAGGATGATGCTCAAAGATATCAACTGAAAAGTAATTAAGATTGGGAAAATCAAATATGTAGAGGGGACATAGAGATATGACTTAGTAACACCATACATATGAATGATCTTTCTAGGAATATTAGTAGACCATCACTAAATAAGAACAAGCATTTTGATGCAACAGCTCAAAAGGCTAACCCACACATAGGCTACATTACTAAAGTCATTATATCCAATTCAAGGAAGATAATACATTAAAATACTCTACAGTTACACCATACAAGAATATTTTGATCAGAGCTACATGAATTGAAATCTGAAAACAAAGCCCTATGAGGAATAGTTTAAAAAAAGCTAGGCATGTTTACTTTCTATAAAGAAAGACTGGCCAAAGATAAATAATTGTATATAAATATCTAAAATCAGTGGTGGGATTCAAATATGTGAACAACCGGTTCTCTGTGTGGATGCTGCTTCCAGAAGTCCATTCTGGGCCTGGGCAACAAAAAATTAGCTACCGGTTCTGCCAAGGTGGTGCAAACTGGCTGAATCCTACTACCACTGTCTAAAATGCTACTATATACAAAAGGGGAAAGTCCTATTTTATAAAACTGAAGAACAGGTGAGGACCAAATGAAATCAAATGGAAAGAAAAGGAGATACGGGCTGATTATTAAGAATTTCTGATTTTCTAAGTGATTTTAAGTAGTAGAAAAATCTGATTAGAATAGATAGGCTCATCTTAATTGGATGTCTTCAAAAAGGAGTTTAACCTTTTCTTCACCATGAACCCCCTTTAAATATCTTTTGTGGCCATAGACCATGGCCACAGACCCCCAAGACTTAACTCAAGATTTAAATCTTAGAATTTCTTCAAACCTTCACAGATTTCCTGTGACGACATCGTGGGCCTTCAGGGGTCCACTCTAGGGAACAGTGGATATAGATGTAGAATACTTAGGTTTTGTTTTATGGGAAATGATCTAGTTGTAATGTATTTATTAAACTTTTAAAATAGTTTGTTGAATTTGTTCTTGGCTGGTTTTGGTTTTTCTGTTTTCCTTTTCTAAATTCCTTTCCAATTATTGCAAATGCAATATACATAATAAAGCTTTGAATTCTTATCTGAAACTGTGACTCTCATTTTGAGAGGATTTCAAGGAGGTCAGGCATTCTTGTGCTCAGTTAAGCTACAACAGGAGAACTGGTGACTTCACTTCACTTTATTTGTGGGAGCATTTATCTGGAGGAAAATAGGTAGTAGCAGAATTTATCAAACAGGCTGTTCCACAGCTTGTGGGAAGGTGAAAGAGGGATTGTTGAAAGAAGGACCCCTTCCTCTCAGGAGTCAGAAAGGTCAACTCACCACATCCCAGGCATGTGTGCATTTGTATGTGCTGTATTATACCACACAAAAGTATGAGTTGCTAGTAATTATGTAGAGGTTTGTAGCCTTATTCTATTAGAAATTGTTTCTAATAGAAACATTTATTTGCTATATATTTCTGTTGCCTACAGGTATTAAGATTTTTTTAAAAAAATATTAATTCAAATAAAGAAGTGACTTAGATGCAGCACGTGCATTTTTCAAATCAGTAAAAATAGGCAACCTTATTGTTGCTTCTTGGCTACTTCTGAAAGTGCTAGAACTGGCAGAAAGGAACTAAGACTTTTAGCAATTCTCCTTTGGTGAGTCATTTTGCCTATCATAGTAAACAGCAGAGCAGAAAATCCTTTTGATTCTAAAGTTCAGAGAAAGAATTTGAATCAATGCATACATAATCCCCCGAAAGGCTTTAAAGTTACTAAATCCACATCTTGAGAACACTCCATAGCTTTTAAATGTTTCAAGGAGAAATTTCATCAGCAGCTACTGGGGGGAGGGCAGGGGAGAATAACTGTGCATCTAAAAAGTAACACCTTAAAGCTTAATAAAAGTATCGCAATACAAGAGTTTTTGTGAAGTACAATCTCCTTTTTAGTTCTTGTGTAAAAATGTTCTTTGGACATGAACAGAGTACATTTTTCTCCTTTCTCCTTTTATTTTACTAGATGTAAGCAAAGATAGAGAAGTTATCTACATCTTTAGCGACAGCAGTATTACTGTTACAATATTTATAGCATTATAGATTTTTTACTGTATGTCAAATGTAACATTTTGTGTCATACCCCACATTCTCCATATGGGTAGCAACTATTTATTGTTGTTGTTCAGTCGCTAAGTCATATCCGACTTTTTGAGACCCCATGGACTGTAGCACCCCAGGCCTTCCTGTCCTCCACTTTCTCCTGGAGTTTCTCAAATTCATGCTCATAGCATCAATGACATTATCTAACCATCTCATCCTCTGCTATCCCCTTCTCCTTTTGCCTTCAATGTTTCCAAACATCAGGATCTTTTCCAATGAATCCCCTCTTCTCATTATGTGGCCAAAGTATTATGTTCTCATTACATGATAATTGGATAAGAGAATATAGTTTATATGGTGTTTATGATAACACAGCAGGTCAATACTTGTGTATCTTTATGTTCGGGGTTAATTCAATTATTGTACTCCATTATTTATGAAAAATGAATGGCACCTGACTCCCAAGATCATTGAATGTCCTTAAAAAGATCATCATAATTTGTGAAGAGGTAAAATAACCAATATCCTTAAGGATCTGCTGTTTTAGCATCCATCTGTGCAAGTTAACTTTTACCAGCTGCTCTCTGGTAATGCCAAAAAACCTTTCATTCAACTAAAAATGTCACAGTGCTGGGCTCAGAAAGAATCTGTACACCAACACAGGAACATGGAAATTTAGCTTGGTAATACTTTCAACCAATGAGTTAATATAATAATGAAATAAGTAGCCCAAAATATACCCTTGTTTGATTTCTTTCTATATTGGGATTGCTTCTAATAATAGACCTGATGATTAAATTTTATGTACACATGTAGTCCTTAGTTACAACTGCTCATTCAATGACCCTGCATAGTTATGATAAGCTGAATGAATGGTATTTATGATGGGTCCTTGAAGATCTGGCTATTGCAGCACTTCCTGCAGTCATATGATTGCCATTTGTGAATTTCCCTGCTGGCTTCCCACAAGCAAAATTAATGGGAAAGTTGGCAGAGATGGCCGCAAGTCATTCCCATAAGCCAGCCCCCTTTTTCTCCTGATAATCTCAGATATGGAGGGATCTTTTACTCCATAGCAACCCCTACCCACTCATAAGCCATGGTTGTGCCTGCTGGTAGCTCAGACAGCTTGCAAGTGTCTGTAGTATATACTGCATAGTGACCATCTGTGACTTCCACCGAACAGACTGCAGCTGCCATTAACCAACCTGTGGCCCACCTGCAATATGGAGTTTCTGCCCACAGCACTATCACATACCCCACAGCACCTGTCCAAGTCACCATACTCCTGCCTGGGACTCCCATCTCTTCTGCTTAACAACTACACAGTTCTGCAACCAGGACTGCTGGGATTGCCATGCTAAGTCATATGGTCAAATAATATTGCGATTCATGACTACATCACTTAGGAATAGAAATTCAGGTCCTAATTGCATTGACACCTGAGGACTATCTGTATGGTATGTGGCAGGGGTAGGCAACCTTGGCTCTTTCATGACTCGTGGACTTCAACTCCCAGAATTCCTGAGCCAGCCATGCTGAGGAGAAAGGGAGAGGTTTCCAAGCTGAGCCATGGTGGCTCAGGAATTCTGGGAGTTGAAGTCCATGAGTCATAAAAAAGCCAAGGTTGCCTATCCCTGGTATATGGTGATATAGCTTACCCATAGATGTTCACTCAATTTTATTTCAAAGAATGTCACTGGTAATCAGAAAAATAATCAGAAATATTGTGTGTATTTTTCAATAAAATTATAAAATGAGGGTTTAATCCAAAATCATCCAACTTTCCTTAAACCTATATTGTTTCCATATAGCCAAACAGGTAACTTCCAACATAGATATCTAGCATAACGCTTATTTATAACACTCAGCAGGCTAACTGGCTTATAATAAGCAAGAGCTGCTTGATTTTACTTTTAACAGATGTTAATCTTCATTCCTAGGGAATTATTTGATTTATGCAACAAAGATAACTGCAATACCTTTGGACCCAGCAATCAATATTAACAAAAGGGGACAAAGTTTTCTCTTGGATATTTTCTTACATTTAGCTATGTTGATAATTTGGTAATCTCAGAGTCTGTAACTAGAGATTATTCTCATGAACATTCTGTATTAAACTGAGGTTGTATAATGGATCCAAAATTACCTGCAGATTGGAAATGAAAATGCATTTCAAAGTTTCAACTGACAGCTAACATCTTGGGACATGCTGGGAGAAATACTTTGAATGCAGCCCCCACTTAATAAAAAAAGTGGGTGAATTGTTCATATGTGTAGGCCATAATTCAATGCTGTAAAACTACACTCTAGACACTACTTTTCTCATCTTCAATTAGGCTCCCCCCTTTGAAGCTCAAACTAATGGTAATAGTTGGTCCATGATCTATATAATTTACCATTAACTACTAAAGAGTTATTTACAATAACACGCTCATAGTCAGACAGTGTACAGAGTTAGAGAGAGTTTCTTGTTATTCTTCCACATATTTACATCATGTGGAATATTACATATAATTTCCTTGGCCTTTTAGCTAAAATTAAATCTAGTTTGTTCTACAATTACCAACAGTAGATCATCCTAGCTTTTGCTGCAACTTGACATTAACTGATGCTGTAATCTCCACCATCCTTATCCTTATCCTCCTTTTACTATCTTGTTTTGGCTGCTTAAAAACAGGATATGTCAAGCCCCACATGCCAAGCCTCAAGTAGTTCTGAAGAAGTGCACTAAAAGTTAGATTTCTTGTTCTTGATACCATAAGATTCTAAGAAGTTTGGTAAATTATGGAATAAGGTCGTAGTGGTGAACCGATGGCACATGTGCCACAGGTGGCACGCAGAGCCCTCTCTGTGGGCATGCATGCCGTCGCCCCAATCCTAGGCCTTCAGCTGGGCTTTATAAAACCTTTTCGCTTTAGGCTTCCGCCGCCGTGTGCAAAAAAAAAAGGTTCAATCAATTTCAACTTCTGGCGAGAAAAAAAAGATCTTGCAAAGTTGGAATTGATTGACTGAACTTTTTACCACTGCAGCCACGCCCACCCAATGGCCACACCCACCTAATTGGCCACACTCAATCAATGGCCACGTCCACCTGGCACCCGACGATACATAAGTGGGTTTTGGGTTGCAGTTTGGGCACTCGGTCTCTAAAAGGTTCGCCATCACTGGAATAAGGTATCTCAGTGTCACTAGTGAAATCTGTAAAAGTCACATGTTCCATAACTACAGTATGTTGAAATTGTATCTAAACATGCAAGTTTCCATACAGACTGCTAGAACGTCCTTAACCATGGATTTCTCTTTTTTTTCCTTTGTAATTAATTTATGAAATTGTTATGGGGATGAAATAGGGAAGGGGGAAACAATCAAAAAATATATTACACTGAATGAGGAAGAACTTGGACTATTAATGAATCTGCTTTCATCTCCTAAATTAACCTAAAATTAAGATGTTGATCCTTTTTGTCTTGCAAAGTTGAAGTGCTTATTCAGCTGTCCTAGGGAGAGCAAAAAACTTCATTCAGGCATGAAATCCGCTGGCCCTAACTCTTCTGCATCTGTTTCAGTCTACTCTATAACCTGATTCCCTCCAGGGTAATGAGTAACAAAACCTAACCTTTTTTTACATCTTCTATCTAAACAGAGTACCTTGAATTTTATGTGAATAAGGAACAAAATCTTACTTTACCACCAGACAATGAAAAAGCTAAGCATGGTTTAAGCTTGTGTAGGATGGGCATGTATTGAAGACAATGTTGTGAGGCTAGGGAGAAACATGTTTTCTGTTATGTTTACTGCAGATGCAAATGATGAAAGGTCATTTATCTCTAAATAGGCTGCATGCGTTATTCAAATGTATTTGTGGGAAAACAGTAGTACCAATTTTAAAAAATCCAATTTGTACCTTCTACGTAAAATACTTTTTTAAAGTTTTCATCACAGAAGTTGCAGCTTTGTTTTCTACTTTTATTTTTAATATGGTTTCACAATACCCCAAATGCCCCTCCCTTTTTTTTGCTGGAGTTAAACATTTTCTCTCTCTCATTGTAATGATAACTACTTGTTCTCCTGTAGTTTGGCCTCATTAGAAATATGATTGCTTTATGGAGATGGAAAAGATATTTGCTTAGTGAAAACCAGAAAAGCTATTGTTCAGAACCGGCAGAGTTTAAGGGCACATCAGAGTCTCTCAGGCAATCCTGGCAACAAGGAACCAGATCCACCTCAGCCTGCAGTGCCATAAACTACAACAACGTCCCATTAAACTCCGTGATACTTATTTTATCGAGTAAACGTGCAAGTAAGTACTATAATCAGGCTGCATCCCTAGGAATTCGAAAGACACACAATTCTTTTCATAAAAGAGGCTGTAGGGCATGTAAGTATAGAATTCTTTCCGTTACTATTTCCTTACAATCTCTTCGAGCCCTGAAAACATCCAGCTTGAGGAAGAAAGCACAAAACAGGTCCAAATTAACTTTAAAAAAATGCAAGTCACACCGAACTCTGTCGAAAGTTGGAAAGCAGACCCATTTTACTTACACGTCCTTGCCTCTGAGAGCGAGATCGCGGTCGCTGTAATAAAGAGGCCGTAATTAAGCAGGCAAATAACGTCCAGGAGTCTCATCCTTAGGGGAGAAGTGGAGAGTAAATAGACTAACGGGGTCGGTGTATCTTCTTTCGGAGCTAAGAAGTGGATGCTGGCATCTGCTCTCAGCTGTCGTTTGGTTGTTCACACAGTATCGGGAAGCTGGGAACAATGTTCTGCCTGGTTCTAGTCCTCCTTGCAGAGCGGGAGGGAGAGGAGACTGGTTGGGGGATGGCCTCATTCGAAGGCAAGACAGTTCCTGGAAGCGGTCCTGTCCATTTCAAGCGGTGGGTAAACAGGAAGGCCGAGGGGAGGACATTATGGCAGTGGCCCAGAAGCTGCTGAACCTCCCGCGGGGCTGAAGGTTTGCTCAAAAGGACCGTGTGTGTGTGTGTGTCCTTGCGTGCGCGAGAAAGAGGCAGAGAGGAGGAGAAATTGCCGTTTGGTTGTGTTCTTCCCAAAGCTCGTTGCCATAACACAGAAAGAAGCAGTTTACTTCCATCTCGTTCCTCCTTCCAAAATCAAAGCTACTGCTCTTTGGCTACCGTTAGGCTGTTTTTGCACAGCGAGCTAGAAACCAAGCCATCGGAGTTCATTGCCTATGATCCCAACCTCTCTGGCTGCTCCTGCAGATCTGTTTTATGCAATCTCAAGACAACTGATTTTGCAGAACAAACCGGTGGTGCATTTAATTTTTGGGGAAAGTGTCATGTGATGCCCACTGTTTACAATACATAATGTTGCAATTTTAATGTAAGGGACAGCTTTTTGAAGACTATCCTCCAAAGAGAACATCAGTGAATTGCTATGTATGTCTTTAAATGAATTACCATTTAAGTAACTCAGTCTTGGCTTTAATTACATATTACAATTGAATTCTAATTAGAGATAGCTTGACGAACAAGAAAGAAATTTGCATGGCATCTTAAATGGCATCTATTAGTGAATCCTATTGATCTAAAAAAAATCTAAATAGACACATAAGCTTGTGTTACAGTGCTGTAACAATACAATCCTACATGCACCTGCTTGTCAATGTTACACTCCAAAAGCTAGAGGAATCATGACTATGGATTTTTTGTGGCCAAATAGTCCCTGAAATATCTGCAATTCTTAAGCCAGCCATTTTTGGACTTTTTTGGGGAGAGGGGGGAATCACCAAAAGAATATTTGATAGACTGCATGGAGCTCCTTTTTTGTACCCCTGATGTTCAGGTCTGAACTGCAACCAGTTTATTGATATACACTTTCATGGACTAGAATCATTTTACTTATGAGTTTGATCATTTTAGAAAGTGTAGGAAAAGGACAGGCAGAGTCAAGAAAAGAATCAGTCTGGAGTTGTTACATTCTCACAAAAGACCAAAGTCCAACCTTTCTTGAATTGGGTTCACTCTTATCTGGTGCAAATTTAGTGCTGGCTGTTAATTGACTAGATTCATGTGTTTAGGCATGGACAATAAAACTGGAACTTAATGTGTAGACCCGATTCTTAGCACTGACAGAAAGTCTCAACAAGTAGTAGCTTGGCTGATATCTGAAGCTACACATGGAGTTCTAGGGCTGTTGGTTACATTAGGAAGCTGAAAAAAAATGTCCTGGAAAAAGCAAGGGCAACCAGTTTTGTAACCCTGCCAAGTTAAGTGCCCAGATATACTCACAATTTTTTTAAAAAATACTTCTTGTTATAGGACATATTTGTCTGATAATTGTCAATGTATAGTTTGTTTTTACAAAGATCATTTAACAACAACAACAACAAAAAAAAACCAACCTCAGTCCACACAGGGAAATCCATTACTTCAAACATGAGTTCACAATATATGTACAAGGTTTTCTGATCTCAGTATAAGGCAACTTAGTAAAAAACAAAACAAAATGAGAGAAAAAAAGGATGTGAAAAAGGACACATAAGTTTTACTTAGTTTACCAAAATACACACACACACACACACACACACACACAGAGAGAGAGAAAGAGAGAGAGAGAGAGAGAGAGAGAGAGAGAGAGAGATCTGGTCAATATTTTATACATTCCAAATCCTTGTTTACTATGAAGGCTTGTAAATGATTCCATTGTGAATGGCAACATTCTAATTAAATTTAACGTAAGCCAAATAGATATAGTGTATATAGAATTATGCAATAGTCATAATTCTTCAACAAGCTAGGGGTAGTAGTGGTGGAATACATCTTCAAATTAGGATAGCCAAAATAAATGAAGAAACTCAGCAAAACAACTAAAATGTATACATTTTGGAACATTTATTATTTCTAATATAGTAAATTATGTTTTTCTATCTTGATGCAAAAGAACAAATCTTGCCCTCAATCAAAAATTTAAGGTCCTTAAAACAGAATCAGGACAGCCTTCAGATGACATCTGAGCCACTTCAGAATCTGTCTTCTTTTTGTAATCCCACATTGGTCAGTTAGACCTCAGAAACATTAATAATAAAAACAAAAATGTTGCTAGGTGAAACTCCTTCAGAGTGGAAATAGCAGAGTGCTCTTCTGAAACACTTATTGCTATTGTATTAAGAATAAGTGTTTAAACTCTTATTGAACTACAAGGTGCTTGACCTCTGGTAGGTGGCCAAGCAAGGATCAATAGTCCTGTAGCTCCTACTCTGCCTGTTCTCCTAAGGAGGAAACCTGTGGAAATGTTAAACTTCTCCAGAACTGTGATCCTGCAGTAGACTAACAAAGTATTTTAATATTTTTTTCTTTGGCGGTCACTTGTCAAGATTGAGATTATACTGAATCGGCTATATAGCTTTCTAAAATCTTCACAGGTTATTTTCCTCTTGCATCCGTCGCTAAATCGCTTTGCAGGGGCGCACGCGCACAGGGAAAAAAAAGCAGCAATCCAATTCAAGAATTCCAGGCGTGCATCCGTCACTCTGGAAACTAAATCCTGCCTCCTTGGGGGACCAATGATTGATGAGTTCCATCAGTCAAGGTATCCTTCATTGGCTGTTTCCTTTCCTCGTTTACGTTCCGTCTCTGTTTGTCTCTCTCTCCCTCTCTGTCCCTCTCTCTCTCTCTCTTTTTCTCTCTCTCTCCCTTTCGTAGCTAAGGGAGACCGACGTAGTTACGCGTCCTTCCTGCGCACCGTTGCTATCGGGGATTAGCCAATAAGCATTCTCCAGGAGCGTCACGTGAAGGCGTAGCGCTTAAACCTGCGAAAGAGGCGTGGTCACGTGACTTTGTAGACGGGCCAGCCCGAGAATCTATGGCTACTATAGGATTTCTCAGCGACGGGGAGACGAGAAGACGGTCAGGAGGCCTCGGGGGCGGGAGAGCTTTGTGAAACTAATTTAACGCGGGGACGAGGGAGGCGCCCGGGCTGCTGTTACAGGTCGAAGGCTTGGGCGCATTCCCTTTTCCCCTCTGGCCACGCTGATAAATCACAGTAACAGGGCAATTCTCGTTCAGTCTGGTTTGCTGGGCGCGCTTGTTAGTGCTTCTGGTACAAGAGTAATTCGCGAGTCGAAAGATTTGGTGGCGTTGAATAACTGCCTCCGTCCGCGGGCTTCTCCTACGCCACCTTGGGCTTCGCGCAGGAATTTTAAAATGGATGATGAAATGCAATGAATATTTAATATTTATGCTACTTTATTGGAGAATACAACACACCGTAGAATATAAAAGCAGAAGCAGTTACTTTATAACGTAGGACCAAAGCTTACAGTTATTTGTAAGTTTGTATAATAGCTCACAAAGTACACTTTTTGGGGAGCATGCATATTTAGTCTATAGAGATTATCGTGTTTTTATTGTTTGAGCAGTTGAATACACTATCAAGAAAGAAAGTTGAATTTTGCCTGTAGAGGAGCATTTGATGGGAGTCATAGCAATGGCAGCATGAATCAATTATCTGTGCATTAATCCCAGTTGTATTCTTTACATTTGATGTGGTACACAAGGTGTCATGAAACACTCATGCATGTATGAAGTAGCATTGAAAAATTAGGTGGTTCAATCTGAGAATCAAGTTGCAGAATGAACTTTTAGTTATGATTTAAAAGCCATATTTGATCCAGGAAGCTCTGTGACTTAGCCACATTCCTTAGTTTTAAATAAATAAATCCATTGCTTTTATCATTACTGTTTCAAATCCAGTGCAGTTAACTACATCTTTAATTGTATTTTTTAAAACCATGTACATATGCTCTAATAGAAGTTTTGGGTATATTCTACAAATCAGCCTACAGCAGATCTTATACCTGATGTAATTGAAAAATACATTAATGAAACAATATTTCATCCATGACTTACAAATAATACATGTCACAATTGGATGCATAAAGCTTTCGTTACTACTACACATAATACTATTAACAATTTTATGATCTGCCCCTCTCTTTTTTAAATCATTTATTATAGAATGATCTACTTATAGAATGACCTACTTTAAATCATTTACTATAGAATAGCCTCCCTATTTATGTAAGGAGATTGTAAGATGATTCTGCTTTGTTTCTGCTAGTGGTTGTCTAGTGTAAAGAACCAGTGCTTGCTCAGGACTGTGCCCATAGTATGAAAATTGCTAGGAAATACTGTAGTATATGTTGTACTTAAATCATTGTTAATCTTTACAATTTCTTTGCTTTGAACAAGTAAACTATTTTCTAAAATAATACACTTTGGATTTATGGCCCACTTTTCGATCCATTTGACAATGAAGAAAGCTTTTAAAAATTTTCTATTTTCATTTATTCAACCTGTGTTATTTGTCCTTTTCCTTTGATTTTTTAGTTTTAACATTTATTGTAAAAATATTTTATGTTTTGTGGAATTCTGTGAATATCCTGTTTTTACTGAATGTAGCTTCTACAAATCCAATTTTTGAGAATATTCAGTTAATTCTTTCCTGATTAAGGAATGGGGTAGGAATCTACGGCTATATATTTTCATATGCATAGATATCTAAAAAATGCTTTTCTTGGATAAAAGATAAATGTGCTGCACTCTGGCTGTAAATATAACATTTTAAATAAGATGTGGCTTCACAGAATAAAAGCTCATTGTAGCAGAGTATGTGCTATGTTATAGAAGTAGTTCTTTAGTGATATTGGTTTGAAAGAATGTGTATTCTTACTCCCCCCTTTCTTTATTTTTGGTAATAGGTCAATGAGTCCCCCTTGATTGAATATCCTGCTATTAGTCAATATACCATACCTGTAGTTTATTTGGTGCTCTGAATGGCTGTTGGAAAGGAATGTACAGTCTGATGGCCAATTGCTGCAGCTGGCTGAAGCGGTGGCGAGAACCTGTCAGGTAAATAACCAGCTTTAAAATACTCATTTTTTTTAGTAACTTTGAAGATTACAGATGGTACAGCAGGTATGAAGTTATTTAGACCTGTAGTTAACTCGTTTTCACAGAGGACAGACTAAAGCAAAATATTATCTGAAATACTATAAGGGAAATTTTCTGTAACTTAATTATGTCATATATTTTTAAAAGTATAGTTCAATGCATGAAGTGTTATTGATACATGGGGGGAAATGAGAATAGGGGGATCAGAGGGAAACATAACACAAGATTATTATCCATTTTAAGATTATGACATAATTTTTTGTGTGCTTTTTGCCTATTCTGTTGGCTGTGCTGTAAAGATCTTACATTAGGCATACTTCCAGTTATCCATTGGCCCTGTTTACAGAGAACAAGGCTTATAAGAGAAATTTTTCAGGAGACTGGAAAAGTAATAGAAAGGAAAATAACCATAAACAGTTAAGAGACAGAAGGTGAGTCTGTTGGTAGCTCATCCTGTAAAAGGCAACTCAGCCTAAGTGGCAAAAACCTGGAAGTAAGCATTTCAAATCATTTAAAGGGACTTCATCTTAGTTCAGACATTTCTTTTGCAGTTTGCATGATACTTTATTTACTCCACAATTAGCCTTTACTGAAGTCTCTGTAATCCAAACTTTGATCTTGCTAAAGTTTGAGGGTCTAGACAGTTAAAAGATTTCTACGTCAGGGGTCCCCAACCTGTGGGCCACATGAGGGGTTTGCAATGGCTGTGGAAATGGCTGCTGAGCGCTCATGAACATCCTCACTTGCACGAGCAGCGTGTGAGCGTGTATATATACACTCCATTTGTGTGAGTGGCAAGTGCACGTGCACGCTGCTTGCAAAAATGGAGCTGAATGCATGCTTGTTGGCCGCTTGTGTGAGCATTCCCTCTCAAGCTGCTAGTCAAACACTTTTTATCCAAACTCAAACTTTAGAGAGATTGAGATTTGAGTGGCAGCGGCTTGAATTTCTCTGCTCCGTCCCAAAGGAAGAAAGCGGAGGCGTAGAGCAGGATTGCTCTCAAGAAGACGCGGTTGCGCTGCTTGTTCGCATGCGTAGCCTCATTGAGAGCAATCCCGCTGTGCACCTCTGCTTCTTTTCACTCGGACGGAGCGGAGAAACTCAAGCCACTGTTGTTCAAACACCCTTTATCCCAACGGAGACCTTGGGGAGATGGGGAGCTTCATCTGAATGTGAACGCAATGCTTGAAAATGCAGCAAATTGCTATGTTTCCAAGGCTTCCATAGGCGCTCAAACACCTTTTATCTGAACGGAGATCTTGGGGAGATCGGGAGCTTGAAAACACAGTGAATTTGCTTCATTCTGAACTGCCCCATTTACTCAGAGGGAGAATCCAAGTTTTCCCAAGGTCTCCCTTTGGATAAGAAGTTTATTAGCGGCAGCAGCTTGGGTTTCTCGGCTCCATCTGAGTGGAGAAAAGCAGAGGCACAGCAGCAGGATTGCTCTCAATAAGGCCAGCGCACACAAGCAAGCAGCGCACCTGGGTCTTATTGTTTGAAAGCAATCTTGTTGTTGCGCCTCCATTTTCCTCCATTCAGACGGAGCCAAGAAACCCAAGCTCCTGCCGCTGCTTGAATGAGGAGCACAAGGAGGAGGAGAAGAGTGGTGAGGATTTGTGCCATCCAGCCAGCCAAGCGAGGACTAGGTCGGGCAGGGTGGGTGGCTGGCTGGGGAGGGGGTTCATGGCTGCTCAGATGGTTGCCGCCATTGCTGGCTTAGATGCGTGTGCGAGGGACCTGACCCCGCAGTATGTCCCCATTCATTTGAAGGCTTCATTCCTGCCCTCAAATTAACTCCAGCGCAAACAAGTGAGCCGCTCAGCCAGGCCACGGATGGTATTGGTTCCTGCGTCCAGCCGACTCCAATTCCATGCTTTACCCCATAGGCATGCAAATAAAGCAAACACTTCTCTCCCCCCCCCAGAGAATGGAAGCTTCCGGGAGCCATGATCTCTTTTGCAAAGAATGGATGCTTGAACTTGTGCGATATTACGGCACCCAGGAGCTTCCATTGTTAGTAGGAAAAGCATTTGCAAGCTTTTCTCCTCTCCCTCAAAGGAAAGAAACCGCGGCAGAGAGGAGGCAGATTTTGCAAGGTAAGTGACTCTGGCGCAGCAGGAAGGGAGGGGGAAGCATGAGGTTTCTTAGTGGGTCGGAGAGGCCTTGGGGCCTGTTCCATCACTAGGCCCCCCCATGGCCTTCCCCACCCTGAGATACCTCGTGCACTTAACGAGCTGCGTGCGTTTTAATAAGCAAGGAAGTGATCTCA